ACCCCTTTGTATATAATTACAGATTTGAAATGGTATAAACAAGCCTGTCATCTCCTGCTATATTCATTTTACTGGTCTCTTTTTTTGTAGCATGTTGCACATCAACAACAGGTTCTTGTGGATTTTTATGTTACTATAGTTCAAGTGTACCTTGATATGAACAGATGTCATTCTCATCAGAATTAATTACTTGCCATTCTAATTCACATAATCAGCTTTTCCACTTCACTTCTGAATGGGCCAGTCCATTTGGATTGCAAATGATGATGGATACACGTTTTATAAGGATAAAGAACAAGTAGCTAAAACACACACACACACACACACACACTATAGAACTATAGCACTATAGAAATAACAAAATGGTGATAAAAATAAAATTTTGTAAATACATCAGTGACAAGTATTTACAGTGTTTTAAACATGTTTGTGAATTTTTACATGCAGAAACTGTCCGAGCAATGACCCATGTGATAAATCAAGGCATGGCCATGTACTGGGGAACATCCCGTTGGAGCCCAATGGAGATAATGGTGAGACATAGTGTACTGGTGAAGAGAACTACAATTGTGGAGAATATTAATTACCAGCACACAGTGAGGTTTCTCCTCCACCATGTAGATTGGTCTTTATGTTTATCTTACAGTTCATCAGTTGTCAATCAGTTTGAACACAAGCATTAAGTCCCACAAAGTACACCAGCAAATAATCTGAAATAGACAGATAAAAGTAATGGAAAATGGTTAAAATGTCCAGCTTTAGTTGCTCAACTCAGTAGTAGTATGAATCCGAACTTGATTAAACCATACAAAAGAAAAAGCAAAAAAGAGACCAAGCCTAAAACTCAGACAAGTTCCCAGGATCACTGTGTCAGTGTATCATGTGTTGAGCTCATCTGATGAGTCTGTGGGGTCACAAAGGCTGGGAACCCTCTGATATGTAGTACTGTAATGTGCATGAGCCTATTCTTGTTTATTCAATGTTCTCCTTTAGGAAGCGTACTCTGTTGCACGGCAGTTCAACCAGATTCCTCCTATCTGTGAGCAAGCAGAGTACCATATGTTCCAGAGAGAGAAGGTAGAGGTGCAGCTGCCTGAGCTCTTCCATAAGATCGGTGAGCAGTGATGGATTTGTGCCTTTGGGTTGAGGTTTTCTTTCAGGTACAGTAGGGCCAGAGAAGCTAAGTGACTGCAGATTACTTGACATAAATTTTGTACAAACTATGCTGAGATGTATATACCAATGTTAACAGATATTTCAGATAAACTGATTGAGTGCTATTTATGGACACACAAACCTGAAGACAAGTTAGATTTGCAACCACAGCTCTGATGAAAATGAGCATCATACAGTATGTCCACATCAGTGTTTTTTTTTTATTTTGTAGTGTTTGTTACCAGATCTTCATATTAATCGAATGTCTTTGCAGGACAGCATGCAAACCATTTTTTATTAAATTGGCTGCAGTCTCAGAAAAATGTATCATCATCCATCTTGAACTCCAGATGCATGAGGCTGTGTGAGCCATTGTTTGATGATCACGTTTTTGCTCTCAGGTGTCGGGGCCATGACATGGTCACCACTGGCCTGTGGGATCATCTCAGGGAAATATGACGGCAGGGTGCCTCCCTACTCTCGGGCCTCTCTGAAGGTAGACAAGCCTCGCTTGTTGTTTTCTGTCTGAATCCCACTTTGATCCTCTGTGCTGGTGTCGCTGTTGTGTGTTTTCCCCACCGGTTGCTGATTGTTTGTTTGTGTGCTTGCGTCTTTCAGGTTCTGTAACACTGTGCACATCACATATATCTGTGTGTTTTCAGTGCCATGTTGACACCATGCACTGTGGACATTTTCACAAGCTGCACAGCTGGTGCCAGCTTAACACACAAGCACACATGATAACATGTGTGCAAAAATGCATCCGTACAGAACAATACAGCATGTGTTCATACAAAGTATTTGTTTATAATTAGACATTATGGATACCAACACTATTTAAATTGATAAATCAATCATTAAGTGGTTCAGTATGTTCTGCCATGTGACCTAGAATAATAGTTTTAAAGACCTTTGTTTTGCCCTAAGCATAAGGGGCCAAAACTGCCACATTAACTGAACTTGGGTGAGGAGGAGAAGCATTTTTCATGATTTAATTCACTGAGCACCGAGAACCCCAGAGGAATATTTCTTTAAACTGACAGATGAAGTAAGGAAATGTGCAGTAGTGTGGTTTGATCAGCAACCACACACTATACATTCTGTCCAGTCATTTTTATGTTAACAAAAAAAAGGAAAAAGACGTAGAATTTAAAAGTACGTTTTGGGTTTAAGAACACTGAACCTCTGCATTGCACAGGAACTAACACCTCACTCACTGCAATGATCTGCTGCTTTGTGATGGAGTGGCATGTTGTGTATATGTGGATTGTGTAGTGATTGTCAATTAGACCCCTCCTGGTTTGTGAAGCTAGCTCTCCATTTGGTGTTGTGCCGTATCTTTGACAGCTTGTGTTCAGTGTTGCCTGTGGATGTTTGTGGTACTTTGGCTCTTTAACTGAGTGACTAATCTCACTGGTTCTAATGTGCCATTGTCCATGTCGCATTATGGTGCTCTTCATGACCCTTGATACTACCTAGTCCTAACGCTGAATACTTTTTGACTCAGCTGAGCACTTTTAGATACATACATTTGATAGTCTATTTAAATAGATGTACCTTTGTTGTTATATCATTTACTGAAGCATTTCCATAAATGTAGCTGGAGTTTCCTTGGCTGAGGTGTAGAAAGCAGGAGACAGAGTCACGTGTTTAAAAACAGGCCCTGGTGACACGGGAGCTGTGGCGCAGCTGTGTGAGCAGGGCTGTGTTTTTGAGCAGGTGTGCTGTGTTTTCGACAGGGCTACCAGTGGTTGAAGGACAAGATCTTGAGCGAGGAGGGCCGTCGTCAGCAGGCGAAGTTGAAAGAGCTGCAGGCAATCGCGGAGCGGCTGGGCTGCACTCTGCCCCAACTCGCCATCGGTACGCAGATACTCTCTGCTGCTCTCTCTCTTTCTGTCTGTCTGTCCGTCCCTCTGCCTTAGATGGGCTGGGGTTTGACTGTTGGTGTGTTGTCCCGTATGTGCCTGTGTTGTAACTATTTTTATTAGAGATTAGTGTAAATGAAGAAATTGATTATAAGAAAATAAAAGGTAAATAGTGGATGTTAAAGGAACATCTACAACACGTCTCGTTGTCTCTCAGGAGCCAATAAGAAGAGCAGCAACATTAATAGAATACAGGAAGTATCTCTTCCAACCAAGAATCTGGCACAGTGTCACAGAAATTGCATCAAGACAATGATATAGTAAATATCACCATATGGAATGCAGATAGGTTTACAGTATGTGTTTGGCATCATGGTTTTCCCAGATGTCAACATGTATTTAACAGTTTGCAGTGTCGGCGATAAAATGGCATCCCAGACATTAATTCAGCAAGTGAAAGTATAAATGTGCAAACCCTGAAGATGCACACTCCTGTGAAAGTTGTTATAGCGTCAAACTTGAGCAGCAAGTAAATCTGAGACTCCTGTCTCAACACAGATTGCGCCAGATGTTTTATCCTCACAGTAATGCAGTGCCATAGATTAGGTTTCATGGCCCATTAGTGGACACCCTCATCTCTTCCATTTATTATAAATCCTTCCAGCACTCCCGAAGGCAGCACAGGAGATTTATATCTACCATGTAGTAGTCTACATCATTGTGGCACTGTATTGAATAAAAACTATAAAAGACAGACCTCCTTACTGCCTTCGACATGATCCTGAGGCCCCGTGCTGCTGGAGCAGGTGCTAAATTCAGGAACCACATTGTGGTTGTGAGTCAGAGAACAGAGTTAATAGATGTTGTGGGTGTTTCAATGGCCTGAAGAAAAGTCTCCTCTTCCTTTCTGCTGCTGCTGTTGGCCTTGTCATCACGTTGGTGGAAGATTTGTGTAAAATCACAATCCCACTGTTTTTACAGAAAAATTCTCCATCCCATTATGTGATAAAATAGGGCTCAATTATAATGGCACACCAGTCAGCAGTGCTGGAAAAGGTACTCAGATTGTTTGCTTAAGTAAAAGTAGCAATACCACAGTATTATCATACTGTTACAAGTAGAAGTCTTGCATTCAAGATGTTACATAAAATACAAAAGTATTAGCATAAAATATACTTAAAGTACCAAAGACAAAAGTACTCATTATGCTAAATGGCACAGTTCACATTGATGTACATCATATTATTGATTACAATTACCGATGTATCATTGTGTACATCACATTTAATGTTACAGCTTGTAAAGGTAGAGCTAATTTACAAGGATCAATAAATCTAGTGATTATACTGTAGTTTGTTTTACAAACCTTGTTCTGAAAACGAGTACCCAAAGTTATCAAATGTAGCAGTGAGTACAGGGTGCCTCCCTACTGTCGGGCCTCTCTGAAGGTAGACAAACTCTGAAATGTAGTGAAGTCAAAATTGTACTTAACATACAGTACTTGAGTAAATGTACTTAGTTATTCTAAACCATTTCCAATCAGATGGGACTTTTCTGTCAGCTGTTTCATACAGATCACCAAAAAAAAGGATCTTGAGTAGGTCAATTTTTTCCTACTTAACTACATTTCAGAAGGAAATATCATAAAATGAATGGAGTTGAGTAAAAAGTACAGTTAGTTACTTTGCAGATTTAACACTGTATGAATATTTAAAAAAATGTTTAGAGATTTAATAGGGCAGCAATATAAAGAGGAGATAAAATTGGCAATAACACTGTCTAAATGTTAAGTCATATTAATATAATGAGCTGGCTTATATCTATAATAAAGGTCACTGTAAACTAAATATCTTTGGGTTTTGGAGCCCTGGCAGTTAAACATTCTACAGCACACTGAGTACTTTTACTTTTCATACTTTAAAGTATATTTTAATGATTATACTTTTGTACTTAAAGATTATGAATGCAGGACTTTTATTTGCAGTGGCATATTATGAAGAAGCTGCTTGTACTTAAGATAATGACCAGAATGTTTCTTTGGCTCTGGGAATGTTTTAATGTAAAGGTTTATGGCAAGCTAAAGTTTGCATAGGAAGTGTTGTATTAGCTTTAATGTGTTTTATCTTAAGTTTGCAGTTGCAAAAGGGAATGTGATTTTAGCTTGTTAAAAGAAATTTAAACTGGTGTGTGTTTGTGAAGTGTGGCTGGAGAGATGCTGTGCTGTGTGTGTGCCTTTTGTATTACTTTTATTTTAGAGTGGCAACATGGTTTAAGGTTGGGTGTTAGGCAAGTAGTGGTTATGGTTAAGGTTAGGATAAGTGTACAGGAAATGAATGTAAGTCAATGTAAAGTCCCCACAAGGAATGAAAACACAGCACGTGTGTGTGTGTGTGTGTGTATGCATGTCCAAACCCATGGTGAGGGTGTCATTGCTGTTCACTGGTCTCCCACAGCATGGTGCCTACGGAACGAGGGGGTGAGCTCTGTCCTTTTAGGGGCATCTAACACCGACCAGCTGATGGAGAACATAGGTGCGATACAGGTGAGACAACAATATGAGTGTATATGTGTGTGTGTGTGTGTGTGTGTGTGTGTGTTTGTATACTGTATACCTGTTTGTTGATCCTTGGAGCAAATAAGTGAAAATATGACCTGACCTGTTTAATCAGACTCGTATTCGTGCCTCACAGTCCTCCTCTCCTGGGTACAGCTCGGCCTCTTGGGCAGTTTGCTGCAGCACGCTTCGGTGCTTTACTGTACTGAGTTAATAAGGTCAGCGGCGTATCAATTGCCAGGGGGACTGGAGACGAGCTCACGGCCACTTCTTCCTCTCCTGATAAGATGCTCTTTTTTTAATGGGCTTTTTTTAGACTGGTGGGGGTTTACATCCTGTCCTCACATTATGTCTGGTCTGCTGTAAAGAGCATTCCTATCCTCCTGTATTCTGATGCTTTGGGTGGGGGTGTGTGTCAGTGCATTAGTTTACTAGATATGTGCACACTAGATGTTTCTTTTCCCTTTGATATTTCCATTTTGAAATGTTATGCTCACATTTCCCAAGGGCCCTGCAGTTTTACTTTTACCAGGAATTTTACGTCACAGACCCCGAAATAAACAGTTTCTCGTTTGAAAGCAGTAGTAGATTACATTTTATTTAATTACATCATGGCGAAATTTAAAAAAGCCTATTGTGAAACTATTTTTCTGGATTCTTGTAAAGGAATTTACAATAAAAACAAGGTTACAGTTGCAGCTGAACAAGTGAATTTACATGCATCTTTTGACCTTTCACATCAATAAATATGTTTACATGCGTTACAGTATAGACAGACATTCTGGCCAGTGCCTCACAGTATGACTTTAAAACTGATGAAGTGAAATTTTAAGTTATATGCACTTGAGGGCTTCCATTTTCATTCATGACATTTTATACTTATAGTACACAGCACTAGATTTTAGAGTAAAATAATGTACTGTTTACTGTAAATACAAAACCTATTATAAAATATGATACAGGGCTGTAGAATCAACTACCCAATGATATGAAAAATCTTCAAAATGAACTGCTCTCGACTAACAAGTGCATGTATTTTAATAGCACCCATGTATTGCTTTTATACAGTCTATGTCTTTTTAAACAAATTACATATTTGTCAGATCAGGCCTACTTCACATTGATTTTATTTGATTGATGTATTGGTGGTGAATAGACACTGACTGGCCACTTTGTTAGGTACACCTGTACAATTGTATACAGTTCAATGCAACACTTCTGCCTTAACATTTGTGTTTATGAAGCTCAAAATGTTACAGGTTTTGTTGAAATTGTCATAAATGTATACATTCAATTGTGTTTATTATTGAGGTCATAGTTAAAGGTGGTGTCATATTGGACTACATTTTATTTAGACCTTTGTGTATGTAGCTGGGGAGGACAAAAATATAGACAGACATTTTGCATTAAATTGCATACAATTGTACAGGTGTACCTAATAAAGTGGCCGGTGAGTAATACACACACGTGTTTATATAAATCTGTAAATAGTAAAGAGCTAGAGGCCACAATGGTGGTGCCAGCTACAAATAAATTCTCAAATCAGTACACATTAGAAACTGCACAAGATTTCTGATCCTTGTTCTATAAAGGGCTGTTAACATTGACAAAAAGCACTGACAGTAATTATAAACAAAGGGAACAGTCATTGTTTGTCTCTGTCCTGTCCCAGGTTCTTCCAAAGTTGTCATCGTCCATCACACACGAGGTGGACAGCATCCTGGGGAACAAGCCGTACACTAAAAAGGACTACCGCTCCTAATGTGCGGCACAGCCCCGCCTGGCAGGGCTGCACCCAGGCTGCAGCTGCAGCGCCCCACCTTTGCCTGATCCTCTGTTTGCTTGAGCTTTTACTGAGTGAGACCCTGGCGCATGAGTCTGGCCACACCAAGGCCACCCAGGGCACCTCATTTAGACTTACAGGGATAAGATAAGAAAAGGGGGAAAAAATACAGTTGCCTCCACAGAAAAGGAAGGGATTGACAAAGACAAAAGTGGAAGAGAGGAGGTTAGGATACGCACTCATATTAGACAGTCAGCTGAACGTATTTTAAAATCATAGAAAAAAATAACTTAAAAAAAAATAAGCACATGCTTGCTTGGCAGCCAGATTCAGTTTTTTTTCTTTTCCTAAAATTGAATGCAACTAAAAGGAAGATTAATTTCATACTGTATGAATATACGGGAACTACTCTGTTGCACATGTACCATAGCCATGCATTTGTTCCTTGAACATTCTGTTTACAAACGTGTGCACTGTACAAGTCTGTTAAGGTTTCTCTGGAAGAAAAACTGTGTTGTCGACATTATTAGTGTATGAGCCTTCTCATGGGCTTTAACAATCAGCACTTTAGTACTGTCAGTGCAGGTGTTGGGTAGTTTTAAGGGGGGGATGGGTATTACAGTAGTCTTATCTCATAACATTGCACTATTAGAATCACATCACCTCTTGATAATTCCCTTTTCCTCATCCCCCCCCGTCTTCACTGGCAGTGCGTTTGTCCAGCCTGATGCACTATTACTCCTGCTGCTTAAACGCAGCAGTGAAGTCCTGCATTTGACAGGACTGACAGGACGAGGGTGAATGATTGCCCTCCACGTTCGAGGCTCCGCCTCTGTCCTGACCAGTGAACTGTCTGCGATGACGAGTCAGGAGTGTAGGCTGCCGTGTCTGGTGGACTGTTGGTGAGTAGATTAGCTATTTATTCAGCCCTAACAGTAGAAACTGCAGTCATATTAAATGCAGTGTCCTATTTCACTGTGTTGCTCAGCCTCTGTTGTGTTTTTTCTGGCTGAGGATTTAATGTACAGGGCGTGGTCGTATCAGTGGTGACTCTGCATCTCATGGAAATGTCTCGATCAAATTCTGTTCAAGTGTTTTGCCTTATTTACAGTTGCATCCGACTGTGCTGTGGCGTAGACAAGCAGCTCGACAACTGGTCTCACGTCCCCAGTATATATGGGAACGCTGACTGGTGTAAGTGGTATTGCAGAGGAGAGGTGGTGTTTCCTGTTAATCGGTGAGTGTTAGCAGCTCAGGGAATGGAGCAGGTGGATTGTGCGTTGGTGTGCACAGGGTCAGCAGGTTGTATTTACTTGTCTTTCTTTAATGCGTGGACACTGGGGAGGACCAGTGACAGTTTAGTGTGGTTTGAGCCAAAGATCATCATCATCATCATCTTCTCTCTTTGATGACACTCCTGAGTGTTTCACTTTGCAAGGCTATAGCACTCACCTTGACGCATGTGCTGCCCAGCTTATCTATCTATGGTATGGACTTAATCCATATATCTTTACTTGACCATGCTGGTATAGTCATTAACATATGTTCTTCATATTTAGAATGCATAGTACAGCTAAATGCCTGAGGAGTGGTAAGGTATGTTTCAAGTGGCGTACAACTTGAGCCATATCAGAAGTATTAATGCAGGATTTGACGCTGCCCTATATCATTCTTTCTTCTTTGGGTGCTCTCTTACTGTGATTAAAGCACAAGTGGATAGCATGCGATACATCTTTAAAGCATGGACCATCTTCACCCGGCCTACAGGACAAGCAAGTTGATGCTACTCCGCTTACTAAACATGTGTAAATAAAAGATCCTTGCTAACAGCTCAAATTATTGATTCTAAGCTGAGAAAATACAAGTACATGTTAAAACTGTCATTAGTGGGAATGATATGAATGAGACGTAGGCGCTTCTCAGTTGAAGTGGAGGGATAATCAGAGTGAACGTGACTGTAGAATTTGTGCAGATGAGGTTTGCAGTCTGCTCTGAGGAGATTTTTTAACAAAACAGTGATTTAATGTCTCTGCTGTTGGTCCTGTTTGTGTATATGGGGAGGTCAGACAACTACACTAATCCCTTGCTTTAGCCTGTTGTATTAGTTGATCCCTGTAAACGTTTGATTTGCCGTCTTGTATGTCTGAGTGAGTAAACTGGTGTGAGTCAATGCTCTTTTCTCAGAAGGGAAAAAAAGCACATTTAGTGCGTTATTCTGTGAAGTTCCTGTGTCTTAATATTTTCATCTGCAGGGAGTGGAGAGGAGCTTAGACTTAAGGAAAGTTTGACATTTTTGGAAATGCACATATTCGAATTATTGCTGAGAGTCAGATAACAAGATTGATACCATTCTCACCTCTGTTAGATATGGAGCTGAAGTTGATGCCAGCGGCTAAATTAGCTTAACACAAAGACTGAAAAAAGGGGGATAAACGCTGTCCTAAGGTAACAAAATACACCTCTAACAATTTATTTATTTAACCCATAAGTGTAAAAGCAAACATTTTACTGTTTTACAGGGATGATATCTACCCAGTAACATGGCATTTACTAGGTCACCAGCAGGGACTTTGTTACTGATGCTACCCAACAAAGGGTCACCTGTTGTAGCTGAATTTGTCCATACTCCTAACCATAACCCAGTGATAGCAAACAAACTGTGCGACACCATAACCCCAACAGAACATTGTTTGCAGAGGGTAGGGAAAAGTTATTTGATGTGGGGAATCAGACTCTGACACAAGACCTGTTCATTACCACAGTAATATTGCAGCTTTCCAGTTTTACACTTCAGTTGTTGTTCAGATTTAACACAGGCAAGATGACCTGAGTTTAGAGGTGCTAGCCATGGATCGGATAGGCAAATTGTGTTAAAAACAGTCAGGCTATAGTCGTTATGCTAAGCTAACTCAGCTGGCTGCTGACAGTAACAGATTTAAATTGTAGAGTGGTGACAGTCTTTGTCCGTCTCTTGGCAATGAAGCAAACAAGCGCATTTTGTTCAACCCTCAGTGTTACAGTATTTCACACCATGCTGACCTGCCCAACAAAGGTCTTGTGCTATTGAAATAATGTTTTAGGAATGGATTATATTTACCGTTTCTGGTGCCCTTGCCTGTGTAGGAGAAATTCATGCTTTAAGTGGTCCTAGTATCATCCGATTTGCTGTTCTAACATAGTAATGACAAGTTTAGAAATTAAACCAGAGCCACAGATTGAGAGCTTATTTTACAGAAGGTTCTGGGTTATACAGAGAATATATTTGTTTTAGCCTTTAACGGAGAAGAGAGAAAAGAACTTTTTATTTTTTCATCCTGCTGCATTTTCCTATCAGTATAGTATCAATTTAAGACCGACAAAAAGAAGCAATTTTTGTCTTGCATATTGGGGATGCACCGATGCGGATACCAGTATCGGTCCGATGCCACCCTCTAATACTCTGCTCCTACTTCAAAACGTTGTCCAACCGATACTAATTATTGGCATGTGTGTGTGTGTGTCTGCCCCTCCCTCCCCATCTCACACAGACACACAGGCTCATTATGCTGAATGTAGTGTTGTGAACGGGAAGAAAACAAACGTTAATTTCATGTAGTTAATGGCAAAGTCGCATGAGCTCTATATGAAATTGGGTTGAACGTGTGGACTTGGAGGCTGAGACCAGCAGCTAGGATGAAACTACAGACAGCGGCCAGTTTAGCATAAGAGCATGCAGCCTCCTTAAATTAAACGTTTAAATGTGTGACTCTGATAATACGCGCTCCTAAACTGCGGCGTCCTGTTCAGGGGGTTGTGAAATCATTACATCCTAACACAGGGTCGCACTCCTACAAAGGTTAAAATCCACTGTATTACAGTATGCTGTGTAGCAGGCTACAGACATTCAGTAGAAACGGTGGCAGCGCTGTTATCAAAGTTTTCAGGACGTTTGCAGAGTCTCCTGTTACATTGGATATTCTGTTTATTCACTATCAAAGTAAATTGCATTTCATTACCTTGTACTTGTACATGGGTAATGACAAGGTTGAATCTAATCTAAATCTCATGAAATTATAAACAGACAAGTCATTTCAGTTTTATGGTCATTGTAGATTATTTTAATAGTAGAAACATTACATCATTAGGTACTTGGTCTGAAAAACGTATCGGTGCATCCCTGTTGCATATGCATTATGAGGACATAGTGAGAGCCTGGTATCTCCTGTACATTATTTGACCTTTTGTATAGATTTCGGTTTATGATCACCTCTGCCTTTTCTTTTCTTTTTTTATTTTATTTTGCAGGCATTGCTATCTGCACTGTGCTTGATTCTGAAATTTGGACAGGATGTACAGCTTCGATCTTCAATGAAAACGATAAAATAAGAATGGTAAACAAGCCTTCGTGAGTCTGTCTTTATTAGTATTCATGTGTGTAAAAAACAAACAAAAAAAAAAACCCCGTTGTTCACTGGACTTTGATTTGGCAGAGCTGAAAAATCCATTTCATCCAGTGGACAACAGAGATCCATTGTCAGTTTGCAGTGTAATCAACTGTATACAACTGTGTAAACTATAAATATGAAGCAATTTATACACAAAATCCATTCAAAAGAAAATATTTAGACAAGTAAATGCTAGCTGTGTGATCTTAAGTCATTTCTATTTCAGCTGTTCTTAAAGGCATTTAGTCAACAGGAATGTGCTTTACTGTGATGTACCTTAACACATCTGAAGCACCATAGCACCATTGGACTGAGGGGTAGTACTTGGTATTTTATAAACTGATAACGTCATAGCCCTGGCAGGTAATGAAATATTGTTGCCTCGTGTCATGTTGCATTATATCCAGAAAAATCACTTATTGTCTTTCAAAATTGGAGATTATTTTATAGTCAGTACCTGCACTAAATGCAACCACAATCTCCTGTCACTGCACTCTGTGTACTTTTTATCTTAGAGGTGTTTTTGTACAGTGACATTCTAGGTTGCAAGAAAATCATAGTGACGGTTTAGGCCGACTCAATGATTTGGCACACACACACACACACACAAAAACAATCATCCAGTGCAGGTCTAAGCATGGAGTTGCAGTTCTCATCAGAGTCTATTTCCATGAAGGTCTTCCTGCTGCTACAACCGGTCACAGGCTTTACTCACTTGAGTCCAACTCGCTGATCTGTCCTAGTTTCAGTGTCTTCTACATGGAGGTGCTATGAGTTGTCGTGTTGTGAGTCTCCGCTGCTGCTGCTGCTGTAGGTGAGGTGTGGAGGTCCACCTGAGCAAACACACACACAGATGAGAGCCCAGCTCAGCAAACACACAACATTCATATTCGATCAGAACAAGGATGGCAGCGCAGAGAAAGTGCAGACTCTGAAGTTTTGCCCCAAACACAGACAATAACTTCTATCAGCACTAGTTTCTCCCTTTTCAAAGAGTCAGCAAAAATGTCACTTTTCCTCTGACTCAACAGTCAGCAAAGCTTGTCATCTGCTGTTCATGTGGAAGTAATGATGTATGTTAAGACAGCAGGGGTGCATGTGAGTTAGTCATTACTGTACCTTCCTGACAGCAAAGTCCGATCCAGCTGTGCAGGCAGCTGCAGCGGCCATTGCGTCGGTCACATTGTGCTCCGTTCTCACACTCGCAGGTCTCAGCACAGTCTGGCCCATACCGATTTCCTCTGCATTCTAGCCCAAAACACATACAGAGTGGTGGATGCACTGTTAAAATGGGAGGCAGGTCGCACGTAAAGATCCTCTCTTATACACAACACTATTCACACAGCGTTGGGCTGAGGTTGCTGGTCTAACAGCCAAAGACTCACTCTTGTGATTATACAGACAGTGGAAATTCAGTCCACTGACTAGCACTGCATAGCACTGCATTCACTGTATGTGGATGGCTTTTTGATTGCATTAGCTTTATAAACAAATGTGCTGATTTGTACTAGGAAGAACTTGCACTGATGCTCACACTGGTCATTGCGGTGTGCATGTTCTCAAAGTTAGAAAAAGCATCAAGACTTACCAATGTCACATCTGGGTCCGGTCTTCCCTGTGGAGCAGAGGCATCGTCCTGTCACAGGGTCACATGGAGTATCGTCCTCACAGTCACAAACCCTGGCACAACCCTGACCGTAGGAACCCTGTTCACACACTGAGAGCCAGAGAAGGATAAGTTAAAAACAAAATGCCTGTAATCCAATTATTTCATTGGGTTATCAGCAGTACTCTGACCTCTGTCGCAGCGGGCTCCGTGGTATCCTGGAGGACAGATACAGTGGCCCAACACAGGGTGACAGGAGGCGCCATTCATACAGTCACACTGCAGCTGACACAGTGCACCATGGAGCCCAGGAGGACAGGCTGAGGAGGAGGAGGGAGCCATGGAAGGAGATTTAAAGTTGACCTTTACAGATGAAAATATTCTTGCTGGATTAATAATCAAGTATAAACCCATTTGTTGAGGGCATGTGACTCTAGGGCCGGGTATCAGACCTCAAGATTCTTTTTGGTAGAGACTGAAATGCAGTATTGAATTTAAATCTAAAAATGCCAGTTTTGTATAGCTGCTTGTCTTAAGAAATGTAGAGAAACAGTGACATTTCTCAAAAAGTAATATTAGGATCACATGAATTAGATCTAAACTAACAATGTGGTAGTTTGCCTCTCAATACTTTGACTTTACTACTGTGTCTGTGACAGCCTGTCTGGTTCTTGCCTCCGCCAAGGAGGTTATGTTTTTGGTTCTGTGTGTTTGTTGGTTAGCAGGATTACGGACAAATGGCTGGATAGATCATCAGCACACTTGGTACAGACATTGGTGGGGACCAACCCCAGAACTATTTAGATTTTGGCTGAAAAAAGCCAAAGGTCAAGGTCTTAAAAAATAATGAAAATGAAAATCACAACAATCCCCAATCTTTAACAGCTCAAATATATACTTTTTTTCTTTTTTATAATAAAAAGCTTTATCATTTCCCAGGTCAGCTGGGCACCATAGTCTTTCTTAAACATGCATAAATAGTGTATTTGACTGGTACATTAACTGCTTTTAACTGCAGCTCTGCTGCCTACTCAAGGCACCTGAAATTATTCAGTGGGTACCCTCCATCATGAAAGAATCGGGCGCTGCTTTAAAGAAAAATTGGAGGATTTCAGAAAAGTTGGACAGACTTGTCCTTAAAGAAACTCCTCTGTGTCACTTTGTGTATCTGTTCAGTTCTCACCATGTTCACACAGATGTCCATAGTAGCCTGGACCACACTGACACGTCCCCGTCACTCGGTCACAAGTGCCATTATTCTGACAGTTACACATCAGCTGGCAGTTTGCACCAAATCTGCCCACAGGACATTCTAGGAAACAGACGAATCAAGCAGAAAGACAGTAAAACTAAATCATACAGTAGCTCATCACGTCACTATGTTTAGGTTTGCTACAGCAGATCATATATGTAATAATGATCAGAAGAAGATGCAACAAATAAGCTTGGATGCAGATCTTAAAAAAAAAAGGTGATACCTTTGTCACAGTGTGCACCAGTCCAGCCCAGTCCACAGGTGCAGTTTCCAGTTACAGAGTCGCACACACCTCCATTACTGCAGTTACAATGTTGGGCACAGTCTGGTCCAAACCAGCCTGGAGGGCAGCCTGAGGCCAAACATGCACTCCAATTAAAGCAAAGAAAACATCCTGCTGTACAACAAATTGGCAGGTGAATATAGACACTTTATCAAACACAGGCAAAAAAAAAAAACCTACTCAAAGATGATTATAATAATCTTGGTGACTTCTCTTTATAGCTTGCCACTAAGGTCAAGACTGTGAAGGGTCAAAGTTGCATAAAACTGAAACAGCTGTCAGGACACCACAGCAGCACTGTAAGCTCACCTTGTCCACAGTCCTGTCCTCTTCGTCCAGGGATGCAAACACACCGACCAGTGGCCGGGTCATTCTGGGCTCCTCCTCCACACAGCACCACCTGGGCACAGTCGGCTCCGTACCGTCCAGCTGGACACGCTGTTAACATTGAGGCACGCCGGACACCTGTCACTCCATATCATAGCACTCATTTATTTATTCACCAACATCATCAAAGTTCAAGATGGACTCACTGATGTTGCAGCGTGCTCCTATAAACCCTGCTGGACATTCACAGGCTCCGGTAGAGGGAACACACTTCCCTCCATTTTCACACTTGCACTCTCTCTCACAGTTAGGCCCATAAAGACCGTCTCTACACACTAAAAATAAACAACAACAACAAACAGTTACTGGTGTAACCAGAGTAACACAATTTAAAAGGCTATTGCTGACATATTTGCTGTAAAGTTTGTGTATAGGTACCCTGGTCACATTTGGGCCCATGGAAACCTGGGGCGCAGTAACACGATCCAGACACAGGGTGGCAGAGTTGGTTTGTCTCAGAGCACTGGCAGACCTGGTTACAGTTCTGCCCAAATGTCCCTGGAAGACAAGCTGACAGAGCGTATACAGACATGTAATGTTAAAGATGTTCTTGTCTTCTGATGCCATTCAATGTGTTTTATCAATGACTTTCTAATGCCAAGGAACCTACTTGGTTTTCAAAATGCACTGAGCAGTGTGTTTCGTCCTGCAGCACTCACTTTGTTCACAGCCGTTGCCAGTGAATCCGGGAGGACAGCCGCACTCTCCAGAGATGTGGTGGCAGGACGTGCCATGAGCACAGCTGCAGCGCTGTGTGCAACCCTTTCCGTACGTACCTGGCAAACATGCTGTAACAAAACAAAAATAGCAGATGTTTGCTGCATATTCCCTCACAAGTCACGCTCACTAACCACCAACAAAAATACATCAAAGAAACTCTTTTTACTTCCAGTGTGTAGTCCCATTTAACTGTGCAATTATATCACAATGCTGTTTGTTTTACACAAAAGGCACAATATAAATTTTAGATACATCTCTATTTATTAGAATGTGATTGTGTAGCCAAGCCATCCTGTAATTTCACTTCATTGTTTTCAGTTATGTTTTGCTGGTAATGTTTTAGCGAGGGCGTGACTCTCAAACCAAAATAATTTCTCCCAAACAAGACAAAAAAAAGA